GGACTTCCAATATCTTCCTACTCTTAAATCCTAGAAGTTTGATAAACTCTTTAAACTCAAACCTTTAGTTTATCATCAATTAGTCTGTATTTTTCTATTCCAATGTGGTATGTGTTCAAAACGAGCGTCAATCTGAAACTATAGGAATTCGATCATATCTTTTAGGACAATTCATTTTTATTGACTCCGACACAATCGCTACCCATTTTGGACTAGATAACTCAGGTTTAATGAAAAAGAGACTGTAGATTCACCCTATAAGTCTAAGGATAGTGAGAGTACCCTAAGAACTCATCGTGATAGATTCCTTTATTATTTGATCTCTTGGTAGTTTAGACCATCCGGAGGTAGATACTCCTCCCTTAGGAACATAGATATATGGTGGATATATTGTATCTAACATAAAAAGAAGATTAATCTGCCACACATCATCTTTAGTGAGTTTCCATAAACATTGTCCCTTCCAAGAATATAGAAACCTTGGTTTATAGTTGTCTCCTTAGTAATTTGTTTATCAAACTCGGTCTTAGGGTCAATGGGTCAATGGGTTTATCGTCCCGAACTCAGAACTTTTAATTGTGAAACATTTTGATGTTCATGGATTGTTTTACTTTGGGTGTTTGAATTCGTTGGATAATTGGATATTTGAACTTACATGCTTATATATTTGGTTTGTTTTTCACTTTCATTTTGAGCTTCATGTTTATTTTTGCATCATTTACATATTAGTTGCATTATGACCAATTTTTGCCATTTCACATTGTTTATGAATATTGAATTATTGAACTAATGGCTAATCTTTCTCTTGATTATGATCTTAGCAGCTTATGCTATATTTAGTTATCAATTGGCTAATTGTTTTTCAAAAACTTGTTTAAAATCTTTTAAAGGTCTTTTTGATTTAACAAAAAAGGGGGAGAAATATTAAAGTGTTTTAAAGGGGAGAAGTGTTAGAGTAAGGAAATGTTAAAATGTTTTAAAGGGGAGAAGTGTTAGAGTAAGGGGGAGTAATTTCAAAATCTTAAAATTACTAACATGTTTTGTTATATCAAAAAGGGGGAGATTGTTGAAAATATTTTGATATTTCGATATAACAAATTTAGATAAATGAATTTTAAGATTTTCCAAAAGATTTTCTAAGTATATTTGATATAATTATTCAAATATCAAAATATTACTCCAAATCTTTCAAATGTCATTTTTAATCCTTACTCAAGTGTAAAATTAAGTTTTAAACTTAAAATAATTTCAAAACAATTTTACAAAAATATTTCGAACCATTTCAAAGTCAAAAATTCCAGATTGCTCAGAGAGAACTGATTCCCCCTGAATGGTTTGGCTCCAAGAAAAACAGAATGCTCGGAGGGAATCAATTCCCCCCCCAAGGGGGTACCGATTCCTCCCTGTTTAACGGTCGAAATATTTGAATTTTACACTTAGGGAATCGATTCCCTATAAGGGGGTACCGATTCCCCCCACGCTCCAAGTTATTTTATTAATGGTTTTCACACTTAAATGGCTCCATTGACTCCATTAATCATCCCCAACGTTCAGAATCAATTGAGGGAGTATTTAAACAAGTTCTGAAGCCTTTGATCAACAAGAAATCATAGAGAAACAAGAGAGAAAGCATCAAACACCAAGTTTGTGCAAATCAAGCCAATTTTCCTTTCAATATTCATTTTGCTTTCAAGAACACCATTTGTTCTCATTTGTAATTATTTTTGAGTGTTCTTTTCTTGTTCTAGAATTGTGCAAACATCTTACCTTGTGAAGTTTTCCTTGTAAGTTTGCAAATTTGTGTATTTCTCTTTGAAAAAGAGTGTGCTCAAGAATTTGGGGTGTAATTCTTGAGGGAGTTGTAAGGTTACTCTTTGTCCTCAAAAGAAAGAACAAATTAGTAAATTTATTGGAAAATCCTTAGTGTGGATAACTAAGGTAGTAGACGTAGACTTTGGTTGAGAAAGTCGAACCACTCTAAATCGTTGTGCAAATATTTTCAATTTTTTGCAAAAACTTCCACCAAAATTTTAATTTCCAATTCACCCCCCTCTTGGCCATTTCCATCAGTCGATTAACTCAACAATATCCAATCATTCCTGAGCTTGGTGATATTCTTGATTCATTTCCATTATAGGGGTATTTTGATCATTTTACAGATCTACGGTATTTCAATCTTTTCCTTCCATCCGGTCTTATTATTTAATTTAATCTTATCATTTACTTCAGTCCTTTCAAACAATTCTGATAAAAGAGCACCATTGATAAATCATTCTTCAAGTATTTACTTATAACTCGAATATTTTTGGGTTAAGTGGCTTCTCAGAAACGGAATATCAGTAATTTTTCTGCACTAAGTCAGGATCTTAGCAATCAAATTCATACTTAATCGAGTTAAGTACGAATCCTTAAAGTATTTTCTCATTCAGGGTCAACTCAGACTATTTTACCTCTCAATGGCATTTTCATAATTTCTTAACCAGATAATTTCGATATTAACTCTTAACGAAAATAATATAATTTAGAGATCCTATGGTTAATTGCTTTCCCGAACATTCTCGGATCTTGAGATGATTCCTTAACAGACTCCTAGATTCTTACCCAAATCCTCTTGGGTTAAAAACTGGTTATCTATATTTTCTAAGCAAAACTAGCATTTCTTATGCACATTAGTAGTTTCATCGGATCAATATGTCTTTAAAAACCTCTTATCCAACTTTCATAGTCAAATCTTGTCTTTTTATAACTTAAGGGTATTTTCGTAATTTTACCCCACCGGAGTATTCTCATAATTTCTCATCTAAGTACCTTTAACATTTAACCTCTGATGAAATAAATTATAAGTTACAGATTCAGGTTGATTTCTTTATCACTAAGAACAGAACTTGTAATTTAATTCTAACAATCCCTCAATTTCTAATAAAAGTCATCTGAACCATAATCAATTACTGAACCTTTTTACCGTATTCAGATCGAGTGTAGAAATTAATTAACTACACAAATGAGACCAAACATTTCCATTCATGCATTTATCAATACCAACATGTTGTATAAAGCATAAAGAGGTAGTAATGTATTACCTCGATTTTCATGCCATACTGATCGACCATAAAAATTCCATTCGAACGTCCTCAATCTTTAATTTAACTTCCAATAATTCCTCAAATACATAACAATAAACATTTCATAAAAAACAGAGCTTACTTCTGAAAAACAGATCGAATCGAGTGATTAGTCAGTGAAAACCAATTTACCGGGTTTAAATTTGGCGAAACAAACCCCAAAAACAAATTCAGGAAGTCAAAAAACGTCAGAATAGATATACCCAGTCAAAGTCAAAGGTCGTTTAACTCCCGGTCAAAGTTCTGGTCAACACGGTCAACGAAGGTACAGTCGACCGTTTTACACAAATATCACCCTAATCGAAATTAATTACAAAATTAGCCACCTTCTACAGATATTTACAAAACTAACACCCAAGTTTTTACACAAATAGTACCCAAACAGTAATTAATTACAAAATTACCACCCTGCGGCCAGGCGATGCCCACTCTCGGAGGTGGCGCGTGTGTCGCGTGAACAGTGTTACGGTGTCGAAAAATTCCCGAAAAAATTCCTAATACTTATTTTAAGTGATTTTGAGGCACTTACAAAGTTTGGTTCACAATTTTGAACGGTGGAGAGTTCGATTTCAACCAATCCGAAACTTTGACCGCTTCACCTCCTCACGCGCCGCCGCCGACGGAGACAAGGAGGACACTGGCAGACTCGGAACGGCACAAGGAACACGATGGTGTGGGAGGTGTCGAAAACAGATGGTCGGATCGTTCGTGAATCGACGAAAAACCAACTGAAATCGAGTTAATACCGACGATACTTCTGACTGAAATTAACGACGAACGACGACGATTCATGACGAAAGGTTTGAGGGGTTTTGTTCATCGGTCGACAACGAACACGATGATGGTTTCGGTTCGTCAAACGGACGTTGAACGGTGAGTAGATCGGAGTTGAAAGTGGGTTGGCCGGTGGAGGAAAATGAAGCATTTTCTACAGAAAACAATAGGGGAAGAGAACTTATAATTCTCTCCTAAAGGAAAATGACTAAATTATTAGTTTAGTCACTAAATTTCTTACACTTCTTAAAATGGTTTGGCAACTTTGTAATTTTACATTTTAATCCGTAATTTCTTCCAAAATACCAATTAAATCCATCACTTTATAATTTCTTAAATTTTAGCCCCTTAATTGGGGTGTGACAGAAACCATTGGTCAAAGGGTCACATTGAGTTTGTTTTCTAAGTTTGATGGCAACATTGGGTGCAAAAAAATGATGAGGGCCACATTGGTTTTTTTTAAAGTACGAAGGCTCACGTACCCTTTTGCTTAAAAAATCAAATAAGTCTATGAACTTAAAAAGAACCAATTTGACCCTCGAAATGAATAAAAATAATAATTTAACCTATTTATCATGTTATTAGCCACATCATCAGTCATTGTGTACCATCACATCAACATTGTAAACCACCAAGGTAATATTATAGACCACCACAACAACATTGTAACAATCAACTACAGAAACAGTTAGTAAAAGAGTAACATTAGGTTATTTTTCTAAATTTGATGATCACATTGAATAAAAAATAATTTGAGTTTCACATTATTTTTTTAATGTATAATAACCTCGTGTACTTTTTTAACAAAAAATTAATATCTAAGGAATATAATTTACACTCATTTTACTATTAAACCTAACCTTCTAAATGTTAATGTTTCCATTTCCAAGCCAATCCTCCACGGCTGCCACTTGTCCTCATTCACCAACTCAACCTTCCATTGCCAATTCCTATCCTCTCCTCTCCCCTTACATTATATTACTCTCCACGGCTACTTTCCCTTGAAGTTTCTCTATTACTCTCCGATTGCTACTTTTCCTGGAAAATTTCTCACTTGCCTTCTTTTCTAGAGAAAGAAGAAAAGAAGAGAGAAAATAAACAAACTCCCAATTCGGCTGTGTTACTGTTATTCATAACAACTGAGAAAAAAGAAATGTCAGGAGGGGTTGGTCCAACACGCAATGATATTAGCCTACCAAATGAAGGAATTCAAGGCCATGAAAAATCACCCAAACCTGCAAATCCAGTCAAGACCGGATTTCTCACCCTCCGGCAACTCAATTGTCTAGCTGTTATGATCATCCTCGCCGCAAGCGGCAAGGTTAGCCGCGAGGACTTGGCCTTTGTGGTTTTCTCCATCGTCTACATGTACTTTCTTCTCAAAGTTGCCTTCCCACGGAACGTGCCTCCAAAAGATTCCGTGATTTTCGACCTACGAAACAAGATTCTTCCCTTGTACCTGACGGCCGGCGCCATCATCGGGCTTTATCTTCCCATGGCTTACATCATTCACGGGATTCTGGAAAGCGATACCCAAGGGACGAAAGCAGCGGCGCCGCATGTTTTTCTTTTGACTAGTCAAGTTTTCATGGAAGGGGTAGCGTTTTCAAACAGGCTTTCGATTCCGATTCGGGTTTTTGTTCCGGTGTTTTACAATTCCAGGAGGATTTTCACGCTGGTGGACTGGATGAGATCCGAGTTTTCAAAGGAGGACAATGAGCATGTAATATCTGGGAACAGAGTTTACGTTGGGAGAGTGCTTGCTTTGGCTAATATGGCGTTTTGGTGCTTCTATCTATTAGAGTTTACTCTGAATCAGTTCGGTTTGTGTTCGTGATCGGTTCATATTAGATTTCCTAGCCTATAAATATCAATCATATCGAATTTAGTTATAGTGGTCTCGTTTTGCAGTAATATTACCAATACAATGCTCCTCTTCAGCTTCTCCTGAAGATTTTTCAACTGTTTCATTGGAGTTTCCCCTACTAAACCCATTCACGAAAACTTTCTAAATCTTCTATTACTCCATTTCTCTCTGCCACCAAGTCATTTGGATACCCCGACATGATTCTATTGGATACAAATGACTTGCTTTCGAGACAGCGTGCAACATTTCCGCCACTCAAAAGAGTTTATATGATCAACTACGGTTTCATCACTTCTAGGTCCTTTCGTTGGGTTAGCGAACTGTTAGAGTTGCGTGATCCAAATTTTTTTCGATTGAATCCCAGATGATTAAGAAGGAATTCACTTAAATTAAAAGTTCAATCTGTATAGAATTCAACTGTCTTCTTTTTGTGCGTTGATGAAGTATAAAAGCTATGTTTTAGTAGATTTCTTTTATGCAATTTTCTTGTGTAAATAGTTACTAGGGTCTTTTTTGTACATCTATAAGGATGAAAATATATAATTATCAAATCTTAATTATAACAACAATATACTTGGTCTGCAAATTCTATGGATTTTGTATTATTTTAGTTTAAATTAAATTGTCATAAAACTTTGAATTTGTATAAATATTTTATAACTAATGTGGATGTTGTATTTTATTTAACTCGTATTGTTTCAGATTTCAAATTTAATATGAATCATCACATTTTAATTCATACTTCATTTCAAATCAAATAAATCAATTCAAATGATCAAGTTGATATCGGATTCATCAAATCTAAACTTAAAAAACAAAATTGTTCAAATGGGGAGTGGTTTCAACCAATTGGATAGTTTTTTTTAGGAAATGACCCAAAAATGGGATGGATGAGTCCTACAATCCCAGATCGCCACATGTTGAAGCTATCAAGTAGGTGGGGGTTTGGTTTTTTATCCAAAATTATTAATAAACTTCATAAATGATAAAGAACCCTATGGTACCAAAATTCCATTGGCCATATATATATTCTAATTAACGCAATTATTTTTTAAATACCATACATGAATTAATTAAATTGAGCTTAATGATTTAGGTTAATCCCAAGCATGATGGGTTAATTTATTTATATGATTCATGTTAAAGATCAGATCGGAGCAGATTTCCGGATCGAAAGTGGACCCGGATTCAGAATTTCTCTAACAACAAGGTTTCTGGCCCGATTTATGGTCATGAAACACAAATACAAATGCTCCTCTAATTCATCAAGTTGTTGGGTAAAGTTAGCATCATTCTTCTTCAGCTGGCGCGCCACTTCTCCGCCGGGTTGAAGCCGATCTTCTCGACCCGCAAGCCAGAGCTTCACCATAGCACAAATGTCCTCAAGCTCATCGTTCAGCCGAGCCACGAGTCGACTTATGGTATCCAGGTCTCTATTCAATATATAAGTCCCCTTAGCCGCTGCGTCGAGCTGAGCCGACTCCCTTCCAAGTCTTCTGGCCGAAGCCAGCTCAAGCGAAACTGCTATAAGACCCGGCGCAGCCACAAGCAATGCTAGAGCATGCGATGCAACTATTATAGTTAATGAAGCTGTTAATGCCACTAGAAATATGCCCGACCCGTGCTCTAAACCGGTTACTATCTGGAGCTTAGATCGAGCCTTGTCGCGGCTAGACTCGAGCCGTTTAAGCAATTCACAACAACCTGCTTGAATTAACGGAACTTTACTCGAAGAGGGAGATGTTGATTTAAATGGGTTAGGAGAATTGGTGAATTCAATTAAACGGGTCAGGATACCCGACAATTGATTCCCGTCCGAGAATGGAGCGATCTCAAGGGTCTGAAACGAGGCCCTAAAAGAACGGTACCTGACACGTGTACTATCGATATCTTTTAGTAAGAGGCCACATACGAGAGAAGCATCGGCGGTTTGGGAAAAATAGTCGGATAAAAGAGTACGGGTTTTAGGTTGGGTTTGGGTCAAAGTAAGGATCCGAGTGACCGAGGCTTGGTCCGGATCCAAAAGATGCTCAGCGAAGAGCCGATAAGAGGGAAGTCGAGCCGCAGTGGTGGAATCGATCGGGCTGATAGACGTGGAGAAATCTAAATGGGACAATGCAAGCACGCGTGTCCAAAATTCATTGTACGACTCGGTCCGTAACGCATTGGCATATTCTTCACGTACATCGATGCTATTCGGGATGAATGCAGAGCTGGCATGGGACGCTGCAAAACAACAATAAATAAGTTCAGTTAAGAGGTAGCACGAGATGCTGTGAAACAACAACAACAAATGTAAAATTCTCATAGTAATACATCGAAGAAACGTCCTCAGTCTTGCACTAATCCTTTTCTTCATAATCTTTCTTCAAATGTTGACAGAAATTCAGGGGAGATTGTCAAAAGAATGAGGAGGAGGTTGAAGAAGGCAGTTTATAAGACAAGGTCCATTAGTTCTGCTTATAATGCAAGAAAAAGGGGATAGATAATGTGCATAATATAATAATATAAACGTCTTTAGTTTTATTTGGAAGTCAAGAATGCTCCCAAAATCTTATGCTTTCAAGGCAGATAAAGTAAGTAGCTAATTGCTTCTGTTGTGATCATAGTTGGATGTAAATGCTTGTTTGAAGGATAAAACATATGGATGTTCATAATTGAAAACAATGTGTCGTTTTAGGGAAATGAAGAATTCACCAATCACTGATGTTTTGGTACACTTGTAATACAAGGCACAAAAATGTAGATTTCTTTGTCTTTTATTCAAACTTCACAAAGGAGGCATCGTTTCTCTTAGGGAACATGTAGAGAGACGAAAGCAAATACTTCTGAGGGATGAACGATTGATTCATTCGATTAATTAATTTTTCATTTACAAAAATTTTATTAGGAAAGCATCAACTGATCCGCATTTAGTCATGCTGGTGCGTTGGTCTCCGCTTTAGTTATATTCTATACCTAATATATCTAACATATCATGATACATGCATAGGAAGGGTAAAGTTAATTATTTTGGAAAGTTATTTTTTAAAGTTGGAACATCTATTTTCGAATGAGATTCAAATATTTCTGTTTCGATATGTCTTCTTACAATATGATCATCTCTTAGTTATCTTTCTACTACATCTTAAAATGCCTCAATTGAAAAGCTCAAGATATACTTGTTTTAGCGGAGACAATATAATTAGAAAATTTCATACGGATTAAATATGAAAATTTTAAACAATTATGATTATTTTAATATTTTATTTATTATTTATAATTAAATTCAGTCTAAGACTCCTAATTACGTATTTTAAGATTATATTTATCTTTTATTTTTATATGATATTTAGATAATTTAGGATATAAGTTAAATTAACCCTCAATGTTAAGGTTTCTCTATGCATTTTGGCACGTTGTTCTTTGCCGTTTATGGCACGCCTTTGAGTTTGATATCAGTTTTCTAGTTTTACTAGTGTTTTGTGTTTCTTGAGTCAATCGATTCTAGTTTGGTATTCATGGGTGATATGGAACAAGATTTGGAGGGCCTCAATATCTAGGAGTGGAGGAGGAGGAAGCTCTCATCGTCGATCAATCTGGCAATTCGTCACAGATCTTTTTCGAAAATTGTTTTGTTAGAAGATTTCTACATTTAGTATGATGAATTTTCAAACAATACAGACAACTTCAACACATTTTTGACATTATATGTAAGGTATCTCTATTACTGAATTAGGTGAAAGTAGATATTTGTTCCGTTAGTATCATGAGGTGGATATAAATATCCAATGTGTTGGTTCTGCATATGTTAAAAATGATAGATTAAATGTGTTTCAATTGGCATATGTTGGTTCTGCATCGATTAAAAAAGAGGGACAATATAATGTTGGTGCCACTTAATAGTGAGGATTTTTGGGTTCTCGTCAGTGACTTGCTAGTGCGATTTATATCTGAGCAAGTCACAAAGTAGTTGGGGTATTTTGTTGAATATGATGCCACTGCAGTTACGTCGGGTTATAGAGGAAGCATCAAGATTTGAGTGAGCATTGATGTTCGAAAGCCACTGAAAGGGGGAAAAAGTTAGTTATGTCGAATGTTTTTTTTGCCTGTGTAGTGTTCCAATACGAGAAGTTGAAATTGTTCAACTTTCTTTGCGATAAACTTGGACAAAGTTGGCCTCTATTACATATATTTTCACTTCATTTTATTTGAAACTGAATTAGAATGTACATGTTTCGCTTTTTTTCCATTTAACTAAGAAGATGATCGGTTCAACAGCAACTCAGGTAGTTTCTTTGTTTGTGGAAAATATTCCTAAGGCATTTCATTGGAAGGGTCTACGATTTTTATTTGCTAGGTATGGGAATGTTGTGGGTGCGTTCATTGCAAATAAGTTAAGCAGAAAAGGTAAGCGTTTTGGTTTTGATAGGTTTGGTAGCAAGGTAGAGGCAGAACGTTGTTTGGAGAAGCTGAATGGTTTTGTTCTCAATGATTGCAAATTGTCGGTTCAGTTTGAAAAGTCTAGAGAATCATCAAGAATGGGAGGTAGTAAAGATGCTGATAGGGTGATAAGGCCATGGGGAGGTTGCTCTCAAGCAGAAACATCTAAGGAGGCCTCTCTAAGGAATTTGAATCAAGAGAAGGATCAATTTGGAAATTTTCAGGCTAAAAATAAAGAAGGGGGAAGATTGATCAGAAATGAGGTGAGTTCAATGAAGCGTATTAAAGGCTTTGTAGAGAAGGAGGTCTTGTTGAAATTGAAAAAATGTCTGGTGGACAGGATGTCAACGGTTTGTAGCATGAGAGAGATTAGTTTTCGCTTGCAGAAATGGGGATTGGAGAGCATCAAAGTTCAACGTAGGAAAATTATTTCTATTAAGCTTTGAAGATGATGAATTGTTCTTGATGTTAGAAGACTTGAACTGGTCATATCTCAAAGAAATCTTCTCGAAGGTTGAGTTATGGTCAGAATCGTTGGTTAATTTAGAGAGGGCGACCTGGATTAAGATCTCGGGTGTTCTATTACATTGTTGGAATCATATTACACTTAAAAGGGTGGCGGATTTATGGGGAAATTTTGAATCTTTAGGTGAGAATACAAACCATTCCATAGATTGTGAGAACGTAACAATTTTGATTACTACAAACCTATATAAGAGGATCGATGAAACAGTGGAGATAGAAATTGGAAACAATATTCACTTGGTTCGAGTTTTGGAGATCGGCATTCCAGATGATGTTGGAACTACGACTCAATGGGGTATCAAACAAAAATTGAAGAGAGGTTCGAATGATCATAAGGAGGCTTTCCATATGAGTTCAACGGAAGAGGATAACTCTGGTGCGTCTTCGGCTAAGTTTGAGAGAACTGAAGAGGTGAGGGTTGCTGAATTAATTGCGTGTTGCTTTGGGAACGAATTCATTAGAAATGATGACACTCAATTACACGAGAAATCATGCCATCTGAATGAATCAGAATTGAGTGGTGGAGGTAATATTTTGGCGGTTCATGATCATTCTCAGAATGATGGGCTTTTTAGAGTTGATGTTAATGGAGTTGAAGGTTCAACAGGGAAGGTTATTGCTTCACTTGAGGAGCACGTTGATATCAATCGAGATGCTGGCAAGAATGTCGAGAGTAGTGCTTTGAATAATGGAGATGATGGTTTCCATATGGGTAGCGATTCTGATTCTCCAGCAACTAATGTAGACCACAATCATTTGCGGAGGACTCTCAAGGACTTTAAGGGTCGGGGAGATTTTGTGACTGATGATTTGGTCAATTCTTTTCCAAAAATTGAGCACTTGAGAAAAAACAAAAAATCGAAAAAGTATGGATCTCTTCTGAAAATACAAAATCAAGTTTTATTTGTTCCAAGCAGAAGAAAAAGGGATCAAGCACTTAAGAAGCTCAAATTGAAGATAGATGATTTAGACTCCTCAGAGTTATCATGAAGGTCATTATCTGATTCAGATTTAAAAGGTAGATGGTTGGCTGCATTTAAAGAAGCTGAGAAAACTTTGGAGTTGGGTGAAAGGCTTGGTATCCAATTTTCCGGTGAGAAGCAGGAAGTGGTGAAGGAAGTAGCTTTGTTAGTAATGAATTAAAGGTGCACTGATTCATGTTAGGTTCTGGCGGCAGTTAGTAATGTTATGTTTGATTATTTTCTATAGGTTTGTTAGGCGTTTTGAGAAGGGATCAAAGTTTTTGTTTTGTTGTTTGTTTTTGTAGGAGTTTAGAGTTTGATTGTGCTGGTTGTTATGGCCATTCCATATTGTCTTTTGCTAGTTGTATATTGGCTTGTTTGAGGGAGTTGTTTACCCTTTTTGCTTTGCTTGGTTTTGTTGGTCATTGACGTGTTTCCCGAAGAGTATTTCTAATTGTTCTTCCTGAAATTTGTAACTTGTTTGGATGATCAAGTAGTGCAATGGTTGGTTCATGCCTTGTAATCGTAATAGAAAGACGCATTGCTTTGCGCTTGATGGGGTGCGCAGAACCGATTGCTTTTGGGTTATTTTGTTGGAAGTTTGGTTGCTGTTGATTTGGACGGCCTCTACGGTGTTGGAGTTTTCGTTAGCTGCTCTGCTTGTTTTGTTGGCTTTCTCTTTGTCGGTTAGGTCGTTAACCAATCTATTTCTAGGTATAGTCTGGAGCGTAATTGTCGAAGCATGCAGTCGTTCCCTGTTCTTCTTTTAGATGATGTTAGCTTTTCTTGTTTCAGCCCGATTTTGTCTGTTCTGGTTTCTAGAGATGATGTTTGTGTTAAGTCTTTAAAGTGTCGGTTGAAGGTGATGTTGTTGCACTAAGTCTGTTGGGTGTTATAACGTTGCACTGCTCCCAACCTTACCTTTGGTAAGGGGCTTCAGATATTGAAGGGGCATCTTCGTATGTATTGTGTTTTGTTTCGTTTCTATCGTTTGGAGTTGTATTTTTCTCCTACTCAAGCGTGCTCTTTTCCTCCACTTAAGTTTAGGGAGGTTTTTAACGAGACTCTTGACTAAGGATTTATTTAATAAAAAAAATTCTTCTGCCGTGCAAAAAAAAAAACTTGGACAAAGTGAGAGTTATTGCCCAATGTGTGTCCTATAGAAAAAAAGATCTCGTTTTGCAGTGGGATGTTTCAATATGAGGGCCACCAAGAAAAATACGAGTTGCTACTAGCCTATGGCTGCGTAATGACACTATAAACGATGGATCAAGTCATGTTCATAATGGGGAGATAATTGTGGACGCTCTTGGCTGGTTCGGTTATGGGGAGGAAAACTTAGTCTTCGACTAAGTAAGATATTATGTAACACTCCAATTTAGGGGCTAAAATTAAGAAA